TAGTGGTCGCCTCAGCCATGGCCTATACCGCTTGGAGGATCCATCCGCCCTGCGCGTCTTCAGTGGTGTTCGTGTGTTGCCGTCCCAGTGACACTCTCGCCTTGGTCACCTAGCCACTCCCATAGTTCGCCATATACTTCACCGCCATGAGCTACCTATCGAGTCTAGCAATAAGGAGATATCCGTGTGTGATGCCTGTCAACAAGGCAAGAGTCATCAGTTACCATTTGTTTCTTCTACTCGTCAAGTAACGAGTCCTCTTGAACTTGTGTTTTCTGATGTATGGGGTCCTGCCCAAACGTCTGTGAGTGGTCACAACTATTATGTTAGCTTTATTGATGCCTATAGTCGCTTTACCTGGCTTTATCTTCTTAAGCGCAAAGCTGATGTGTTTGATGTCTTCATTCAGTTTCAAGTGCATGTAGAACGTCTTCTCAAGCATAAAATTATCCATGTTCAGTCCGATTGGGGGGGGGGGGCGAATATCGCAACCTCAACACTTTCTTTAATAAGATTGGGATCTCTCATCGTTTATCATGTCCTCATACACATCAGCAGAACGGCGCTGTTGAGCGCAAGCATCGACATGCCGTTGAGACCGGACTCACACTCCTGGCTCATGCTTCTGTACCCTTTCGTTTTTGGAGCGACGCTTTTGCTACAACATGTTTTCTTATTAACCGACTACCTACGCGTGTCCTTAATATGAAAACTCCTATTGAGCTCCTTCTCCATGAAACTCCTGACTATACCTTCTTTAAGGTGTTCGGGTGTGCCTGCTGGCCCCATCTTCGTCCATATAATCATAGAAAGCTTGAGTTTCGGTCTAAGAAATGTGTGTTTCTGAGTTATACTCTTCACAAAGGCTACAAGTGCCTTCATGTGCCAACAAATCGTGTCTACATATCCCGTGATGTTGTCTTTGATGAGAACGTTTTTCCTTTTTCCGCCATGCCGCAGCAACCACCACACCTCCATCTATGCATCCATCTCCTATTATGCTTGGCCAATTTGAAGATGTTGCATATTCGCCTGTGTTGTTACCTAATCATGGTGCAGGTATTGGACGTGGTGCTCGCCTGGAACTACTTCCGGATGCAACTCCCGTGACGCATGTTGATCGGTCGGTGCACGTGCCTGCACAAACTCCCGTCGTCGACCCCGTCTCTGGAGCCACGCCCGCTCATGCCATTGGACCGGCGCTGGCCTCCGTACCTGGGTCGGTGTCGGCCGAGGTGCCGCCCACACTAGCCGAGGCGCGGCCCCTGTCTCTGCCGGTCTCACCTGGGCGGCTCGAGCGGTCCTTGCCACCGCCTCCACGCTCGGCCTCGCCTCCGTCATTGCCGCCGTCGCCTGGTCGTATGTCCCTGCCGCCCCTCTCACCTGGGTCGGCTGGGCCTACCATCGCCTCGCCTGGGTCTGTGTCTGGTCCCCCGTCGCCCGACCTACCATCGTCATCTCCAGTATTGGCGCCGCCGGCTCCTGTTCCCGTTGCCCCGCAACGTCCGCATACTCACAGCCGCAGCAGTATTGTTCAACCCAAGCAGCGTCATGATGGTACTGTCACATATTTGGCTGCCTGTCTTGCTCATTCTGTTGCAAATCCCAATGATGAACCACGCAACTAGGAGGCCGCTATGAGTATTCCTCACTGGCGGGCTGCTATGGAGCAAGAATACCACGCTCTTATGCATAATGAGACATGGACACCGGTTCCTCCTCCACCTCGTGTCAACATCATTGATTCGAAGTGGGTTTTTAAAGTCAAGAGACATGCGGACGGATCTATTGAGCGCTACAAGGCGCGTCTTGTGGCTAGAGGGTTTAAACAGCGTCAGGGTTTGGACTATGAGGATACATTCAGCCCAGTTGTTAAGCCTACTACTATTCGGCTTCTCCTGTCTCTTGCAGTATCTCGTGGTTGGTCTCTTCGACAACTTGATGTTCAGAATGCTTTTCTCCATGGACTGCTTGAAGAGGAGGTTTACATGCGGCAGCCACCAGGGTTTGTTGATCACGCTCAGCCTCATGATCTCTGTCGTCTGACGAAGGCTCTATATGGACTGAAACAGGCGCCTCGTGCCTGACATGCTCGCCTAGCTTCGGCTCTTCGTACTCATGGCTTTGTTCCGTCGACAGCTGACAGCTCGCTGTTCTTGTTTCAGCGCCCTAGTGTGACTGTGTATTTGCTTGTGTACGTCGATGACATTGTTCTGGTCAACTCCTCTGCAACGGCTGCTGATGCTCTTGTGACTGCACTTGGCAGAGATTTTGCGGTAAAATATTTGGGACAGCTACACTTCTTCCTGGGTATTGAAGTTGCACATCAGTCTCGTGGCAGCTTAGCTCTCACTCAGAAGAAGTACTCCCTTGACCTCTTGTGCCATGCTGGTATGCTCAAGTGTAAGCCATCTCCCACGCCCATGTCCTCTACTGATAAGCTCTCGGCTACTGCTGGTACTATTTTGTCTCCTACGGATGCTACAGAGTATCGGAGTATTGTTGGTGGCTTGCAATATCTGATTATCACACGTCCTGATCTTTCCTTTGCGGTTAACAGGGTGCGTCAGTATCTTCATGCCCCTACTGATGTGCACTGGTCTGCTGTGAAGCGCATTCTTCGTTATGTGCGTCTCACTGTCTCCTATGGTCTTCATCTGTGACCTAGTTCCTCTGCTGTTCTATCTGCATTCTCAGATGCTGATTGGGCTGGGTGTCCGGATGACAGGCGATCCACGGGGGGATATGCTGTATTTTTTTGGTCCTAATTTGATCGCCTGGAGTGCACACAAGCAAGCCACTGTTTCTCGCAGCAGCACGGAAGCCGAGTACAAAGTTGTTGCCAATGCGACTGCTGAGCTTATCTGGATTGAGTCTTTGCTTCGAGAGCTGGGAATCTCCTAGTCACATCCTCCGGTTCTTTGGTGTGACAACATCGGTGCTACATTCCTTTCGACAAACCCGGTGTTTCATGCACGAACCAAACATATTGAGATTGACTATCATTTTGTGAGGGAACGTGTTGCACAGAAACTACTACAAATCAAGTTTATCTCCTCGAAGGATCAACTTGCAGACATCTTCACCAAGCCTCTACCTTCTCCCATGTTCGAGGTCTGTAGGCGCAATCTCAATCTTCTAGATTCATCAGGAGTGAGTTGAGATTGAGGGAGGGTGTTAGACTTTGTAGCGTAGCCCAACTGTGTAATCTGTATATTGTGTAACCTTATAAATATATGTGATAGGCCACCCCTAGAGGGTTGAGCCAGTTCCCACAAATCCTACGTTTAACATAGGCAAATTTACTTTGGCTGATCCAACCACTTAAGCCCGGGTGGCCATGTTGGTGGCCTTGGCCGTTGCTCGGGAGCTTGGTCGTGCTCGGGAATTCATCGAAATGTCAAGTGTCGTGCTTGGAGCATTTCTTTGATTCTCGTGAGTGATCCATGATTGGCTTGATTGACTCATAGCATAACTGGACGAGGCCAAACTTCTTCAACATCGGCAACAACTTAACTATGGATATATTTTCATGTGAGACCCATTTTGGTGTGCTCGGAGGGAACCAAGTTTTTTAGTATATCGACACCACTAACACGCAGCCTATCCATGTCAACATACATGCCCCACACATTTCACCCCAAAAAACAAATCGTGCAATTATTTGATTAGACCTTTGTGGCATTGGATTAGTTTGCTCCGTTGAAATGCCATAAAGCACGAACCAACATCCATGATACAAAAACCAATGATGTAAGTCAATGATCCTTGTATCATAGGTGTTTGCGGCTTCTTGAGATCCTAATTGCCATGGTTCCGTAACATCACAAAGTACAATTGTGAGGAATCAACATTCTGATGAACGAAGTATCATTGGAATTTCCCATTTTCAGCTTTGCTCCCAAAAGGAGAAAGGAGATTGATCTGCTCCCAAAAGAGAAAGGAGATTGATCTTGATGTCGGCGTTGGTTTTTCCAATGAAAAACAAGAACATTCTTTGACGAACTTCCATGACAATGAAGAAAAGGATATGCTAAAATGATGGGGGCAGATTTAAAGATTTTTCAGTGAACATCCAGAATTGTCATGCAAAAAGGATAAAATTGACACGTTGTAATGGATTTGTCATGCTCTAAAACAAAAAATGCCACATAGTAAAAGAAAATGGCAGAAAAAATTGCCACACTACACAGAGTAATTGCCATGCGTTGATCGGGTTTTGGCTGTCCTAAGGGTGTTCACTGCGATTGCTTAAAAACCCAACATTCGTTTGTTAGCAACGCTGAAAAAACCTATTAAATTAGACCTAGGATCCAAATATAATCAAATTCGTCACTAAAACACACACCCCGGCCAAACTTGGATTTCTAGTGATGCCATGAGACCCAGATCCCTTCTTATGTGAATCTGTAAGATATGGCAAGGTACCACACAACATTATCGACAAGACAAAAACGAAGTTTTTTTTAAAGGACGAAACCATAGAGATGAGATTTTTCACTTTCTACCTAAGAGAGTTATCTCCACTAACTTATTTATCTCAACATGCAAACATGCCACCTCATCATATAAATACAAATAGGAAAGGCCAACCTTAACATGCAATCATGCATGAGAAAAAAAAATCCACCACAACATTCAACCATGCATGGGAAAATGTTCTCCATTCAATTATTCTACTTGTATTCAATACATATTTTACAGTTATACATAATCCGATATAATAAGTCATATGTATTTCTAGTTTTGGTTGTCATGTTATCAACCCAAGTTTTCATCAACCACAACAACGCATGAGGTCTATACATATTATGTACAGTACTGCACAGAGTTGGGTTCACTGACAGTGATCACAATATACAAGACAAGCTTGGTTGCACATGAAGTTCCCTCCGCGGAAAGGAAATTGCAACTCTGCATTTCTTTACACATGCATGTACAGGAATAATTGAGCTAAATCTCTAATCACACTAGCAGCCACAGACTACACACACATTGGCTCAAAAACAGCCACTCTTGGGAGTGATCTTCCTGACGCTATCCTGGAGAAACTGGAGCGCACCAGGAGAAACGTAGGCCCTCTCCATTGTATTTACCTTTGGGGCCTCGAGGATCGCCCTTGGAGGAGACAGCACATGCTGCATTGCCCATATCGCAAGCGGGCGCATATATATCAGAGATCTATAGTGGCCATCAATAGTCCATGCTTCTGGAGTTTGAAACCAATACCTGATTGAAGTGATATGTTAACTATTTATAGCTTATATCCAACCAGTTATCTCAAATAAATTGAGTCCCTATATTATTATATCCAACAACCAGTGAACAAGTGGTATTTAATGAAATCATAGCCATTATTAGATGAATTAAGAATTTAAGATAGGGCAACCATCAGCACTAAAAAGCATGATCCTGATCAAAAGCAAATATATGTGAAACACTAAAACTTTAAAAGCTAGTGATGAAACAAGGTATATACCCATAGCCCTCTTCAGACCATCCTGCAAGAAAAATGCCTTGCGCTGTAGTGAAAGCCTGATCCTCCATTCCGTGGAGCAGCATCGTTGCAGCTAAACTGTATGTTACTCCAGTCCAGATTTCTCTTGACTGCATACATGTCTCGTCTACCTTCCCATTTGGGTGCATACCATTGACTGCTCCAATGCGTCCTCCTTTCACCCTCATCACATTATAGTCAAATATTTTCTGAAGCGTGCATTTTATCCTGTCCTCATCAAACAGAGGTGGCAAGCCAGATGATGCAGTGTACCATTGTCCGGCCAACTGATCTGCCTGGATGGAGCGGCTACTGTAACTTGTTCCACTGTCATAATTGAAATATGAACCATTCCACAACTTGGCTTCAAACACGTGTTTAGCCTTCGCAAATTTTACCATGCACCTGTCAGCATAGTCATCATGTCCAAGGCTGCGGGCCATTGCGGCTGCAGCTTGAAGGGCAGCAAGCCAAAGACAACCACAGTAGGCACTTACTCCAAGAACAGTCCAAGCATCATAAGTTTGATCAGGAAAACCATCATTCTCAATCATACAATCACCATCACGATCAAACTGTTCAATGTATTCCATAGCAGTACAAACTGCAGGCCAGACATCCTTGCCAAATGACATGTCGTCTGTTGCAGCAAAATCCCTGTAAACCTGGAGCACAAACTTGGGATTCAGATCTTTCCATCTACTTGTATCATGTATATTGTATGCATTCAATTCATGCCAAGGATCATGTGCTCCGAGATCATGGGGAACAGCACCAATTACTTTGCGTGTGCCCCATGTACCATCAGCAAGAAATCTGACTCTAGTTCTATCTTCACGCAAAACAGCTCTAGCAAAGTCCCGTTGAATACTCAGCTCAATCTTAGGAAAGAGATCCAACAGAGCAAATGAAGCATAGAAGTGTACATCGTAAGTGCACCACATGAAGTACTCCACTCCTTCAAGGTACAAAAACTTCCCAACATTTTCTTTGTCATCAAAATCAGGTGGGCTAGAACCAATAAGTGGAACGGTAGAGTTGCAAGTGCTGTTATGAAGTGGCAAATCACTGTCCTCAGGTAGACTTGAACTCAAATCACTGTCTGGGAGTACATACACTAGATCAGTAATTACAAAACTACATTATAGAAGCATACACATAAATTATACTTTTGGCATTGTCACCATTCATGAGAGTAGATGCAATTAAAATGACAAGATTAATTTAGTTCTGTGTTAATATACTCTGGGGAACCAATCACATCGAGTAAGTTTTCTTTGTTACAAAAGAACTTAGCCTTGAAATAAATGTGCTATATAGATCAGTAAGAACTTGTTCGTTCCAAAAATAACTATTTCCTGAGGAATTGGTTTTTTCTTGTTCTAAACAGCTTCGTATTGCAGTGAACTATTTCTACATAGAAATAACCAAGTGATAGTTCATGTGGAATACTCCACATGAATATTCATGAATGGAGAAAATACAAATTTGTATTGCAATGTCTCCGTTCATGTAAAATAAATACTGTGCTACAAAGGGGTTGTTAACTTGAAGGTGAGGTCTGGACAAGGACATTCCAAGATGAGACTACCAAGTCAAATCCTATCAACACTTCAACAGAGAGAAAAGGAAAATCAGGAACAAGGATCTGGAGAGATGATTACCAATCCAAACAGTTCCTCCCGCTACTAGGAAGTATAACTCATTGAAGAGAGTAATTTTGTACCTGCAAGAATAAAGTACAATGTAGCGCATAAATATATATTTATCGTACATGGCTAAAGCTATAGACAAAAAAGTATATATTCTCTAAAAGACGTATGAAGTGAAGGCTCAAATTCCATGTGATTAATAATTGGAAACTGTCCACCTCACTCCCCCAAAGGCCAAAGAGTATCACACCTCAGGTTGACCATGAACTAATTTTCTGAATAATTAACCACCCTGAACTTTGAACG